AAGCTAACTAAGAAAGAAAAGATTTGTTTTAAAAGATAATTTTTAGAAACTAAAAGAAACTATTATTTTAGAAGAAAAAATATAAGTTAAGAAACTTATATTAAAAAAAAGAAAAAAGAACTTGAACTTGTATAAGAAAAGATAAGGGAACTAGAACTTATATTAAAAGAAAAGAAAAAGAACTTGAACTTATATTAAAGAAAAGAAAGAGAATTTATCCTGCCCTGATAGAAATAGTAGGGTTTATATAGCTTTTTAGATATTATAGAATAGGAATCTAAACTTAGGAATCTTGATATGGGAATCTAGTTTGGGAATCTAATTTTGGGAACTTTGCTATAAGAACCTACTATGAGAATCTAATTATGGGAATCTAATTATGGGAACCTAGATTAAAAACCTAAAATAGGAACCTCAGATAGGAACTTCAGATAGGAACCTCAAGTTGGGCACCTTAGGTTGGACACCTTAGATTAGAAACCTCTAGATAGAAACTTCGAAATAGGGTTCTCCAGATCAGCATCTAATATTACACAAACTCTAAAAAAACAGTTTTGGTTGAATTAAAAAATTTGGTACAAGTAGATTACACTGAGTTATACAAGGTTATACAGAGTTACACAAGGTTTTCTACAGCTTGTTGTTATACAAAAAATGTCTAAATAGTTTAAAATTAATAAAAAAATATTATACTAATAAAATATAATTAATAAAATTTAAATATTAAAATTTAACTACTAAAAATTCATATTATAATAATATATATATATATATGAGTAGCAATTAGTATATATAATTTTTAAAATATATTAAGAAAGCTATATTACTTGTAACAATATAGTTAAATATTATAAAAATTTCTTTAAACCTTCTTTTTTCTAAGATATTATAATAAATATTATTGTTTTTACAAAACTTATATCTAATAATCTTATTTAATTTCATTATTTCTATACTAACTTTTATATTATTAATAATATCTATATTTATTAAACTATATAAATCAATATATAATTAATTATAAAAACTTTATTATACTAAACTATCTGAATAAAAATAAATAATATTAATTTATATAAACAAACCTTTAAGCAAATTCTACAAGTTTAAATTCTTTTTATTATATAACTACTCTAATTTAAATAAAGTTAGTTATATATATAGATATTCTAAAAAATAATACAAATACTTTTTATATTTTTTAAAAAAACTAATTTATTACAAACTATATTTCTAATTTATTAAATAAATTAAATATAGCATTATCAAAATTTCAAAACTCTTTCTACTAATCACTAAAACCTAAAACAGAATAATATTAAAAACTCAAAAATAATAACTCAGTAAGAAATACTATTATATAGTATGAGAAATAAAACTTATAACTAGATTGAATCTAATATTGCACTAATACTACTAGCTTGTAAGAAGCCTTATTAAAGCAAAGTTACTAACCTTAGCAAGTCAGTATTTTTTTTTTTGACTTAATATTCTTACAACTAAAACAAAAACTAAATATAAGTTTTATTAAACTGCTTAGACTAAGTTAAGCAATACTACTATTTTTTAGTTTTAATTAGAGTTTTTATATTTGTCTATTTTTAGTCTTTCTTATAACTTAAAAATTTAAAAGACAATATTCTATATTAATGTTTTAAACTTTTGTAATTTAGATTATAGATAAATTAGTTTGAGTTTTAAATCTTGTTATATAATTTAAAATTATATTTTATAAAACTATAGTTATATAAAATTTTTAATTAAAAATAGAAACATAGCTTTATCTTAGCTTTGCCAAAAAAAAAAATATATATTGTATAAAGTAGCAATTAAATCATAATAAAGCTCTTACAAAAATATTTACAAAAAAAAACAACTAATTTTATATAATCAATTACAGTATCAAAAATTTTAAATTTTTATTTATATTTTATTTTATAAAGATACATAATATTTTTTTTCCAATTTTACTTTTAAATATTCAAATCTTTTTAAAATTTGGTATTTTTACTTACCTGGAAGTTGATTCTTTAAATTTCACTCTTTATCAATTTCAACGTGATTAGTTCTAGTAATTGCTACTATTAAAACTATGCGATAGTTATCTCTTAATAACATCATTTTCTTGTAATAATTCCGTTTGATAACTAAAGCTGTCGAAGCGACTAAAACGACGGCTGTATACGTATTTAATCGCATGTAATCATTATGAGATCAATTTTCTCCAGAGTTAAGTCCAATAAGGTAAAAAGTGATTATATCGGATATTAAATAACTTTTTTACAAATAAATATTTTATGTATAATATATTTGATACAAGTAACTCTCTTTATAGTGAAGTTAATTTGGGCTGAAAAAAAAAAATTATTCACTAGTTTATATTGAGTTATATCGATCTAATTTATCGAATTTACTAATTTACCCCACCACTTCTAATTGGCTGTACTAATTATTCACTTAGCGGAGTATTTATTTTATTAAAGTGGTGGGAAAATTAGGGCACCCCACTATATCGAGAGTTGAGAGTGAAAATTTCACTAAAAACAATTTAACATGATAAGGCTACTTATGAAATCTTGTTTAGATTACGTCTTGACAATCGCTATATGAAATGATTAGGATCAGGTTATTTTTGCACGTCTAATTGAGATGAATCAATTTATACCAAAATCGTATGATTCTAATCGCTAGGTAACAAACCGCCACTTTTTTTTTTTTTTTTTTTTTTTTTTACCTCCTGCTACTGTATAAATAAAATTATAAAGTTAATTAATAATATAAAATATCGAATCATCTCTTTAATATTTATTACTGTACAACACAAACTATACCTGGACAATACATTCCAAATTAGTACCAGGGCATTGTATACATAGTATAGTTCGAGGTGTATCATTAATAACGTAAGTTTATCTTTGATTGGCCAACCTAATTGACGTGATTACAAGATTACGACTCCATGTGTCTATAAAAAAATTAAGAATTCACTTTTAGTACTTTACATATTTGTAACCCTTGAAATCTTGTTTATTAAGAAAAATTTTGATAGAGACTAAGATGTTTGCATTGTACAATAGTTTTAGTTTCAGGATCTATAAAATTTAAAAGAAATTTCCAAATTCATTCTTTTAAAGTTAATATAACTTACATTGTGTAATATCGATATCTAATATTTATTCGATTAAGTAAGTTAATAAATTTACGGAAAATTCATTTATAGTTACGCTAGATTATGCCGAAAATCCAAGCTCGATTTACATGTATTTATTTATCTCATTCATTTCATCCAGGTTTGAAAATTATTGGTGTATCATTTGTGATTGTGTCACGACTTCGACCCCTTCAGTGAATATAAAAACTCCGCCATATATTGCGCCCAATTTTTTTTTTTCTTTTTTTTTTTTTCCTCAACTGTTTTAAATAAATTATCTGAGGATAAAATACTACAAAAAATAGGAGAGCTTTTTGATTCGGGCCAGAACTTGGTTTATATCACGTAACTTCTCTTAACGCTCCGAGCCTTACTCCGCAAAATATTATACGATATTTCATATGAAATATTATAGAAAATTAAAATATCGAAAAAATGTACCAGTTTTTGATTCATGTGACTTTTGATTTAAATTTATCTTTTTTTTTATTATTATTTATTAATTAATTGATTTTTTAATTTCGTTGAATTGTCAATTAATATGTTTGTTTATATAGTGATCCCTTCATTTACTCGAAATGGAGTAGGTTTTGATTTACTGAATTTTTAACAAATAATTATTTTAATTTTTGCATAATCCTTTAAAACTTAAAAGTTTTTTTTAAATAGTTCAAGTCAATCGAAGTTTTCCCATGTATCTGGCCTCAAAATGGGATTTAATTTAGAAAGTGCAAAATTGGCCCTTCCTCAAGGACTTTCTTTGTTACCCGGAGAAACTATAGAGTTTATAGCAAAGACGTGTGCGATAAAACTTTTTGAAGCTACTGCTGATGGTGGTTTTAAAGAATGTGATGATGGAGTCTATGGTCAATCGGATTTTGCTGCTAATGAGGTAAATACTTATTAATATTTTAATTACATCTTATCATCTAATTTTTTTTATTATTTTATTTGTTCGATTCGGGTTTTAATATGATCTATATTTTTATAATTTATTATACCACCTGTTTTTTTTTTTTTTTTTTTCCTCAAAGTCAACAGTATTAATCACCAACTATCGAACCTGTTATCGACCCGTAAAAAATTCAACCAATTCTTCTACATCAACATTACATTCACAATTAGACTCGATACGTTCTACTACTCAGATACCACATCTTTCAATATCTCAAATTGAAGAGTCACAAGCTCAAATTACGATAACTTTAAAGTTTTCTCCATCAAAATACTTATTTAAATTTTCAAAACCTAAACCAACTGCATTAGCTGGAAATTTTATTAATATTCGAACTACTGCGAATTCCCTCTGTCATGATTTTTCAACTATAATAAAAAGATTCGTGTTTCCTAATAGTTTAGAAAATACTTTTGCTTTTCATATGGGAGAGGCAGAAGTATTTAAAAAAAATGATTCGATAAAACGAGGTCAAAATTCTCAACGTATTCGTAAATTATCATTAGAAGAAAAAATATTTGAGGAATTATTTGGTGGTTGGAGTAGTGATGAAGAGGATGATGATGATGTAATAAGAAAAGGTTTAGATGAGTCTGTTTTCAAACGAACTCGTGACTTAGGCTGGTCTAAAGGTTATAGAATACAAAAAGAATTTGAACGAATGCAGATGAATAAAGTATCATGGTATAAAAAAATTTTATGTATATCATTCAAATATTTATTTTATATCATCATCATTTCTCATACTTAATATAATTTAGGTGCATTGCATCTATCAATGAAGATTTTTCAGTGTCTCCAACTTATCCTCAAGATTTTATTTTACCAACTCAAATTCTTAAAGAAACATTATCGAATTTAAATTCTTCTAGTACAGGTTCCGATTTATCCAATGTTTCAATTGAGTCACAACCTACAGTAGGCTCACAAGCTACATCAGAATTACAATCTAGCTCTGCTTTTTTTGAAAATCTTGCTAAATTTCGATCTCGTGGACGTTTTCCTATTATTTGCTGGAAAAAAGGTCATAATGTATTAATGAGGAGTGGGCAACCTATGGTTGGATTTTTAGGTTCAAGAGGATTAGAAGATGAAATGCTAATGCGTGAAGTTCTTTCCACTGTTGATGAAGAACATCAAAGTTTAGCTGCAACGATTAGAAGTAAAGGTTATGATGGGGATGAAGTTAGTAATAACAGATTTTCTAGACATTATGGCGGTTTTTATGAACCTTGTGGCATGAAGTTATGTGTATTAGATGCAAGAGGTTATGCTGCAGCTTTGACTAATGGGTACCAGGGTGGAGGATACGAAAATATAGGTATTTATTGTCACAGAAATTTTAATATGAAATTTTCAAAAAATTTTGGGTGCATTTTTTTCGATTTTTTTTTTTCTTTTTTTTTTTTTTATAGTTGGGGTTGGGAAGAATATAGTTGGATTTTAGCAGGGTTTATATTTTCAAATCGAGACCTCTAATTTCCAGCTTCAGCCGCGACATTTATTTATGATAATCAGTTCTAATTATTAATATATATATATATATTTCAATACTTTATAATTGAATAATATTGTAGAGAATTATCCACAAAATACAACTTTACAATTCCTTGGACTTTCAAATATTCATACAATTTCCGCTTCACATGCCGCTTTATTACGTGCTATTACAACTAATGCTTCATCACCAAATTGGTTTTCTGTACTGAAAGCTACCGGATGGTTGGATCATGTGGCTGATTTACTTAGGTCTGCTGGGGGTAAAGATGGTGTTGTAGGAAAGTTAGTGGATGAAGATGCTAGTGTTTTGGTGGTAAGTTATTTACTATATAATTTTAATATCATATATTTCATATTATTTTATTACGAAACTCATTAATCGTTTTTGTTAATATAATTAAAGCACTGTACGGATGGTTGGGATAGGTAAGAAATTATAAAATTTTTGTTAATGATAACTTATATTTTCTATTTTGATGTTTTTTAATAAATATAATTATAATAATTCTTAAAGAACCACACAATTAGTTTCATTGGCTCAAATAATGGTGGATCCATTCTATCGCACAATTAAGGTTTGTCTATAACGTAAATATTTTTTTAACACATTTGTGATATAGTATTGACTAATTTTCTTTTTGATAAAAAAAATTTGTATAATAGGGTCTACAAGTATTAATTGAGAAAGAATGGGTTTCTTCTGGACATCCTTTTCGTTCTCGTGGAGATCTCCCAAATAATCTTTTCAATAGTGATCCCAGATTACATTCCAAAAATAAACGTCATTTCAAAGAACTACAAAATTTACAACCTGCTCCTGCTCCCGTGTTTCTTTTGTTTCTTACTTGTCTTCATCATATATTAGAACAATTTCCATCTGCATTCGAATATAATGATTTATTTTTGTTATGTCTGGCTCGAGCCGCAGCAGGAAATTCACCGTTTGGAGATTTTTTATGCAATTCTGAATGTGAGCGAGAGGCCGTATTATTAAGAGAAAGAACAAGAAGTATATGGTCATGGGTTAAAGAACGTAGGCAATGGTTCAGAAATCCACTGTATCAAAGAATTCGACCATATGATCTAATTCATCATAATGATCACAGTACTTGGAGTGATCATTCGTGGAAAAAGGATGTTTTGCGCCCGGACACTGAAGCAAGAGTCATTACATTATGGTCTGATTATTATTTTCCAAAAGATGATTTTTCGATTGCCTTACTATCAATGCCATATGGTACTGAAGTTGAATTGGAAGCAGGTATTGGACCTTCTCAACATCACATTGCAGGATTTCCTTCGGAGTACTACCTTGTCAGTCTTTTCATGAAAAGAAAAAGGCGACGGATCGCAGAAAAAGTTTGGACAATTTGGAGATCTTTCTTACTGGAAGACAAAAAAAAATCATTAAAAGCGAAAAAGGAAAACAAAAAAATCGTAAATGAGGAAGAAAAATGGGATGTTCTTCGTGGATCAGAGTGGAAAGACGATGTGTCAAAGCAATTACAGGAAGCACAAAGTAGACCAATGTTTGATCATGTAAATCAAGACCTGAAACAATCCATATTACCCTCACAAGTAATGTGCAAAAAGTTGGATCATTTACTTTCTACTGATTACGATGATGATGATGATGACGATGACGACGATGATGATGATGATGATGATGATATAGATGAATTAGAAGATGATTCAAATATAATTTTATCAAATGAAATATGCGAGAGCCAGTTTTTGGAATGGGTTCATCTGTCCAGTCAAGGTAGTGAAGACTCCGAGACAACCAAGATATTAGCAGGATTACTTAGGGAGGCACAATTGGATGAACGTTTATGCCAGAGCATATGCCAAAATAATGATTCTTTGTCGGATTTATTAAAAGATGCTCAATCGGATAATCAAGTTTTTTGTCAAAACATACATTCAGATACTGAGACGTTAGCAGAATTACTCAAAGAAGCTCAATTAGACAATCATTACTTATGTAAAAGTAGATGTTCAAACATCTCATCCATTAACCAAACTTCCACATCATCAAATTTTTTCAAGACATCAATAAATCAAAATCCTCATTCTATTTTAATAGAAAATAAACCAGATGAAAAAGATTTTGTAGGTATAGTGACATCACCGGCGCCATTAAGACCAATTGGTAAAAATTCACCAGATTTGAGTGAATTTGTGATTGTATAATTATTAAGTTATAAAAAAAAAAACGTGCAATACTATATCAGTACTAATTCTGGCATTTAATATTACTATTTTATTTTATCTTATTTTATTTTTTTTTTGTCTAATGAATTTCTT